GGGGAAGGATTTCTAATACTTTGAAATGCAATGAACCAAACGCGTCCCTCATCAGTTTGCTATGTTTTGTCTAATCCAGGTTTCCAAGAAGTCTAAGCCATGTCGCAACAAGCCCTTCTCTTCTTTGTCTTGATTGCAATGACTCAAGCTTCGTTTGCGGTACATGTAAATAACCTAATACTTCAATCATTTGTAACATGTACTCTATCAACAGGTTGTAAGTGTAGGATATCAAAGAAGGCATGTCTCGTCACTGTGTTAGAGTAACTGTCTAAGTTTCTTAGACAATATTTTGTGGAAATGCATATTTGTGAGCTTGTTGTTTGGCGGTGGCGGGAACGAAGGCGACGTCTTATAGCTTGTTCTGTAATGTCTCAAGCCCCGTCTACACTACGTTGGAGAAGTTTGAAAACGTAACAATCATCGGTCATTTTGGATTTATGTTTTAGGACAACTCGGTGAGGGAAATCTCATGATTATCGTGACAAGCTTCGTTTTTGTGACAGATTAGTGTGGACAGTGCGCCTAACCGTAGAAATAAAGCTGCGTTTTGAGATTTCTCTCGCGTATTGTGGACGCCGCCTTAGCATGGCGTTTGAGTGCATACCAGATTACCGAAACAAAAGGTGCTACAGGTTATCAAAACACTGTGAAGAGAAGGATGTCTGCACGCAAAACAGCTTCTCCAGTCATCAAATTAACATCAAGGCTCCCTGTACATGTTGTACAACACGCTCTATAACATAAAACTTTTTCCGTGCTCTTGACACAATCGCAATTGTAACTTTTAGTCTTTTAGTCTTCATTGTGTGTGTACGAACTAAATTTTCATAATGGGCAAATAAAAGTTTGAGGTTTACATAGTATTGTGTTTTTTTGTTTTTTTTTTTGACCGCAGTTCATTGTGGGACAGCTGTCAGGTACCTTGGGTGAACATCGTATTTACCCCAAAAATTCAGGTAATTTTTTTGAAGTTATTCTGCATTTTGTTCCTTGTTTCATTTGCACAGCACTAATTAAGTTCTATTTCGGCAGAAATCAAGGAATTCCAGGCCGACGAAACATTCCAAGGGTTCACTCACGAAAATGGCCGCCTGAAAGTGCAGGAGTGTGGATTGTACTACATCTACGCGCAAGTGTTTTTCGAAATTTACAACAGCGGGCCTACGTACCACAACCGCGTGGCTTTGACGGTAAATGGAGCTCCTTTCAGCTTGATGCAAACGGGACTCGGTGGCAAGGCTGATTACGGCAGTAGGTATACCGGGGGGGTCGTTGAACTGCACAAGGATGATTACATCAGCTTGGTGACCGTCTATGACAGCCGACTGTGGGTGGCACGCCGTCACACATTCTTTGGAGCTTATAGAATCGGTGAATAACTGTAACACTATCAAGGAAATGTGGTTTTCACGCGGTCACACATTTTTTGGAGCTTATAGAATCAGTAAATAACTGTAACGCTATCGAGTGACAAGTCTTTCAAATAATAAAGTAATTAGATGGTGTTACATGATAACACAAATAATGATTAAAGCAAGTTGAACAGTAGGGAAAATTAGACCACTTGTGAGAAGCCTTGCAATTTGAAAAATGTACAATATTCGTTCTGTTAGTAATACGTAATACTCTGTTCGTAAGCCATCGTAGTTTAATTGATTAAAAACATAACACAAAGAGATGTCTTTCTTTTTTTGTTTCTTCTTCTTTTCCTTCTTTCTCTCTTTCTCATATTTGCTTTCTCTCTCTCGTTTTCATTATCTGTAAAATGTGATCTGCGCTCATCTTCACCTCCCTCCCAACTCTTTTAACATTTTTAATGACAACAACGAATTAGTGATAGTATATACACCCACTGTATTTGCCATCCTCTCTTAATCACACAAACCGTCTGCATAGGGTATGCAATTTACATAATGAGAGGAGTTTAAATCGATGTGTTGTACTCCGTAAAATAAAGCAATGCTAAATAACAGCATTGTCACTATCACAAAGACAATAACGAATTTACATCGAGTCAATTTGCGTCGAAACACGATAGGACTCCAAAGTACCAAAGCGCATAGACAGCCGTAAAGTATTCCAGTTATCATGGAATAGTTGTTCACTTGAGGCAGTGTGCCAATGGAAAACAGTGTACACAGGCAGACGATCAACAGAGCGAGCCTGGGTAGGGGATTCTCCATTGTTCGCCAGAGTATCACGTGTTCAACTAGTGCCAGGCCCATAATTCCACCCACAGCGGGACCCGCTCCGGCCTCAGGCCAGTCGTGTCTTGTGAATAAGGAACCAATCTGCAAATCGAGAGAAATTAGACAGCGAGACAACTAGTGGGAACGTGAAAATGTTTTGAACATGAAAAATGTTCTTAAACCTGTTTAGCCGGGGCCTCCATGCATCTCCAAAAGCATTCACTCAATGGTAGTCAAACTTATCATATACATGTGTATAGCATCCATGGTTTTTACTTTAGTGACAATCACGTGTGAAACATGACGTCACAGAGCAACAAAATTACGTCACACGTTATAAAATGTCGGTTATCTTTGATCCGCCATCTTAGATGTGCAATATTTCAAATTAGTGTGGACAGCTATAAATTAATTTAAAAGATCAGGAAAATATCATGATACAAAAGATATAGTGATCAAGAGATGTACAAATTTTGTCATGAAATCCAGATTCGAACTATCACAGAAATTCAAACTAAACAAACCCTAAATTTAGAGCTAGTTAATAAAGGCGACTGGTTATGAAGCCCGCCAAACATCAAAGGAGCAAACAAAGAGGTCAAGATTTATGTTGCACGACCGTGCACAATCTTTTGTTTTGCGCTCATACACTATGCATGAATTACGTAACCAAAACGTTTCTATTGGTTAGTTCGTCGGTACGGAGTAAGCAACTATTGTGTTTTGTGCACGATCAAGGCCAAAAAAACGAACAAAAACATACAACAAAGAACTTTGTCGGGTTTCATTACCATTCCCCTCTACTAACTATGATTTAGCTGAAACACCCTTTGAAAACATGGTTACAATAGAGACGTCGAGCCACTTGACCAAGCAATAGACAATTTTACATTTGTCTGCTCAGTGACCTGGCCTTTTGATGGCAGCGAGGCTGGAGTTGACCTTGTTTTGATACAGAATTCACTGCTTTTGTTGTGTAAAACAAGTTGTTCTGATGCTAACTAGCTAGGTGCATTTACATGACAAAAGCAGTGAGGTCTGCCATCCAAAGGCTAGGTCACTGAGCAGACAACTGTAAAATGGTCTATTGACACTCGAAATTTTTCGTGAAATATTTTCGGAAAAGTTACAGTTTGAGTACTATGACTTGAAAGCAGATTTTGTAACTAAAAATTGAAATCAGCGCGGTAATTTTGTGCCCCCTCTCTAGGCTAATACCGTAAGGGTTAAATACCTTTTGGGATGGAGAGTACCGACCGCTTTAACTGCAACCAGTTTTTGCTTATCTATCAGTGTCCCGTTGACAAGGCTGTGCTTTATTGAGATTAGTGGTTTGGATATCATGAGTTTTCTCGTGTTCTTTATTGGATGGTTTTTTTGAATGGATTACTAAACATAACAAACAAGCCTGTCCTACGTTCTAGCCTTCGAACAGACTCTCCTGTCGAGGATGGAACGAAGAGAAAGCTGGAAGAAAGAGGATCTCGGGCCCCGCGGCCACTTCACCCTATGCCAGTTTCGTCACGGCCCTTAATTCCAGCCACAGTCAGAACCTTCCGGTCGGACCCTGTTCACAGGCTATACGGTCTAACTGAAATAACAAGTCTCGTAAGGCGCACTAAAGACTGAGTCGTAATTGCCGTACCAAGTGTCCGCCCACACCAGCGGTATGATGCACTATTGCCATGCGCAACCATCCAATAGAGTTTTCCTGGCCCCAGTATAACCATATTTGCAAGAAGGTGATCACCAGACAGTCCAGAATTCCTTGGTGCAGATAGATTGACGTCACAAATCGCCACCATTGATGGCATCGTCGAGGAAAAACTTGTGTGACGCAACTGTCGGCTACTGATTGGTCTCCCAGAATGCAAAGTTGCCGTAGACAATCTACCTAAGGGGAAAAATAGAAATTTGTGTGTGGTGTAGAGTAGGGATAGATAATTCCAGAGATTGTGATGATGATGAGAATGATAATGATGATGATGCAGGCTGTTGCTGAAGGTGATGGTGATAGTGGTATTACCAAAGCTATTTTATTGACCACCTCTTTCCGGTATGCACTACCGTTCTAAAAAACCCACTGCCTCCTTTGAGCCCCTAGTTTCTAAAAAGCAGCGTTCTTATTCTCATTATCGTTTCCTAAAACTGTTGGAGTAAGTCTCGCATCATACTTACATAGCGCGTATTTCATTCCTACACTGGTGCACCAAAAGTTATTTAACTCTGTCGTTGGTCCCTACAGTGTGCACGGAGCATGCATCTCATATGCACCCTCCTTCCAAAGCGCTTGATTAACAAAAGGAAGAGGAGTGTACAAATGGCAAAACTAAATGGAGTGCGTTTTGAAAGTGAGTTGCTCCTAACGAACAAGCAATATACGTCTGCTTCCTTAGCTTCTAAAAGCGTGTTGCACGACCATGCAATTGTTTTACCTTAGTTAGCATCGGGCAGGCGAAGAGCCACCCTGCGGATATACTGCCCGAAATGCCATTATTATTATTATTATTATTATTATTATTATTATTATTATTATTATTATTATATTACCTTTTTGGTACTCTTCGGCGGCATATTAGGCTAGTTTGGTCGAGCCATGATTCGCATTCGGGCAGACGTATAGCCAAGTCAAAATGGTTTACAAAAGGAGCCAATACCCACCAATACCTAAGTCTGATATGTCATCAAAGTGTACCAAAAAGATACGATTGGGTATTTATCATACCCAGATTTGGCCAGAAATCTTGCCATATCAGGTCATTGACTTGCATGACATCGCAACATGATATCGAAAGATCGCTAGATATCAGGACAGTAGACCCGGCTTATTATGATTGGCTGAGTGTGACTTTGGGTGCGGTTTTATTGGATTACCCTCTTTTACAGCCAGTAGTTTCCGTTCATTACTGTTATAAAGAAATGAACCGTACTTTTTCCATTGATTGACAAAGAGCAAGGATTATCAGTCATCGCAATTCAAATGAGCCTACTGTACCTGTGAGCAATGCTCAGCGTCCATATGAAACCGACCGTTCATGAACCAACAGTGCTGTGGACTGGTCAGCGTACACTGCCCATTGAGCTCCCCACAACAAGGTCGTATGGTATGCTGTATGGCGGACTGCGATGCAGACCGCTGACTACACCGTGTGTTCCTCCATTGAGCAGTCTCATTTGAGAGAACACGACATTCTACCTGTCAGGAAAACAAAATGGTGTATGCATCTAAAACAATGTTCAAAATTTTTAACCATAAACAGCATACTTTAACAACTCTCTGTTTTTTGTTTGTTTGTTTATTTACTTTTTGGGGGGGGGGGGGATTGTCTATCTATCCAACAATTACAAGAAAATAGTTCCCATCTCACCCCGAGTGCAGTCCAGATATGGGAACAACTAAAATGTGTGATGCATAGTACAACTAAACAATGTATATAACAAGAAAAATGGATCAATAAGTGTAATAGCTAGATAAGCAGTGATTCATAGAGATGGTGTCTTATTGCAGACTTAAAAGAGTTTTCCCTTCTTGTTCGTTGGAAGTAGCTGTGAAATATGTGTCCCGACAGTTCAAGGCTGAATGAAAAAGGTGTTTCGCGCCCTTGTTCGTTCACCTGGCAGATTAAGATTAATTAGCCTTTTCACAGAGCTTCTATTTTATCTCGAGTTAGTCGAGATCGTAGGCAATTAGCGAAATATTAACCTGGCGCGTGGGATACACGTGCTAAAACGCAAGGGGGTGGGGCTGAAGAAAGATCAATGTTTTTGCGCGAGCTTTGCGGCCGGTCTTGCGTTCTGCGCTCGCATCGCTTGAGCGCTCAAAGAAAAATAACTAGCAGCAAAAAAACACAAACGTCCGTGGACAGACTAAAGGTTAATTGGACCAACACATTCAACAAGTTACCGTCAACGTGACTTGTGATAATAATCGTTGTCATAAGACCGACAGCTACTTCAAGCAGATTGGAGCGACTGTAACGTACTCTCAAAATTCTGCTTCAAAACTCTCAGTCGGTGAGTATAATGTTACCTCGGTTGTTGTCCCCGCGATGTTGAAATGTGGTACTTCACAACAGCCCAGACTTTCTCCACTACCAGGGCGTGGATACCAAGTCTGTACTTGGTTTACATTTACAGCATGGTCCTCCCTCATGCATGGCGGGAAGAGCGCTCCAAGAGATACCAAATGTGTTCCTGAAGGGCCTACGAAAGGGTTTCGCCACTCGGTGAATGAAACTGTAACATTACCACGAAATGATGCAAGTTCTAACAGAAATAACACAAAGGCATATTTCATTCTTTCAAGATCTCGATCGGGAGTCCAGCGTACTACCCAATATGGTCGCTGCGCCTCCCACACATTAAAAAAAAAAAAAAACTTTCTACAAGACACGCATAGCATTAAAATACCTCTTCGTATTAAAATCCGCCATTTTGAAAATGGGGAATAGAGTTTTGCGTGGATTTCAGAGATTTCTGATGCGCCAAAGCGATGGTGACGTAAGTATTTCAAGGTGTACGCAATACGTGTTGTATACCTGGTGTACTGAAGTCGAATTTGGATAAAATGCCGGATTCTAACAGGATATTGCAGGTGTACCTCAAGTCAGGGTCCTTGAATACTTCGGAATATTTCGGTTTTCGCGGTATGTGCGTGCCGATCAGTATTCGAGCGAAATTGGGCCCGAATATTTGTCTTTTTGCGCGGTGTAAGACAAAAAATAACTGAATGAAGGTGATGGAATCTCAGTTTAACAAATAGATTCCATGTCATCGTGCGTCTGTTCAGTAATAGATCGCAGAAGACGTCAAAAAGAACATCACTGACAAACTTGGCTATTACCTCGTGTGGCACTTTTTTGTTCTTATCACATTTTGACGTCACCCGTGATCTATAACTGCACAGACGCACGACGACATGGAATCTATTTGTTTCATCTAATAAACATAAAAGAATGTTGATGACGTCATCCATGCGTCTGTCCTCCAATTGATCATAGGTAAGAACCAATCAAAATGCGAGAACAATTTGACTCACATAATAACAGAAATTTTAACGAGGACAAAATGCATAAAAATGAAGTGTCCATTTCATATTCAGTTTGATTCATAAATAATACTGAAATTCGTTTTTATGCAACCTCGAACCAAGAGTTTTCGTTTCCCTTGACCAGAGGTCGTTAAACGAGCGACCCTAGAAAGATCCGATTTGAAGTACGAAAATATTAAACTTCCGGTTGAATTGCGAATGCCTAGTTGACAAACACGAGGCTCACTCGAGATGCTGGTGCTTTACTTCCGCTCATTTTCATTGTTTTTAAAACCAATCAAATCGAGCCTTTAACCGAACTCTCTCGAGTCGCTCGTTTCGTCAAGCTTGCGCAGTAAGGAAAGAAGACTAGAAGAACGAGATTGCGCTTTATGGCAAAGTCCAAATTTCCAAGATGGCGTATATTACGGCGGAAAGGTTTATCCACCTATTCTCTGATGAACCTTTGGTGACAGTCCGATTTCAGCGAACGTTGCTGTCGAGCACGACCAAAGTAGCATAAACAACTGTACCATGGCAACGACGAATGTGAAATAAGGGCGAGATCCGCTGGGCATTGATTGCAGGCTGTCCAAGCGAAGTCGTGATGTGAAAGCCGATTCATATTGTTCTGTAAAGAAATGTGATAAAATGTGAATGGGTAACATCAGATAAAAATAAAGAATTGGCCTTACCATGAAATGGCCAACTGTCCAACATTCCTGATTACCGCTTTAACACTTTACCTTCTGCTAAGGGGTCAGTGTGAAACGCAGACTGCGGAGTGCAGACTGTAGATCTGGGGTAAAATGCAGACTGCAGACTTACCGGACTACAGACTGACCCTAACCCTTAAAAGTATATATCGTGTTATTTCCGTTATCAAGTGTTAACCGTACAGAGGAAGTGTGCACTCCGGCTAGCCTGAATAACGCTCCGGTTAGGCTGTTTATGGCTAGCTCTCAATCATGGAAATGGTTACACATTTCAATTAAAGTCTACAGTCTGCATTTTACCCTCAGTCTGCATTTTACCCCGGTCTGCAGTCTCGGTTTTACACTGACCCTTTTGTTAAGAGGACTTTCCCGAGACTCTGGTGGTTGTTCCAGCTAGCCACCAACACGGACTACATTATGTCTTTCCGAATAGGGAGTAACAAATCTGTTGCAGTATTGTTAAACCATGGACGTGTTTTAAAGCTGTTTTGTGTACAAGGGTTGCCTTACACTCATTTTGGAGTTGTGATTTTTTTGTTGTGTTTTTTTTTTTAACCAGGAGCCGGGCTCCTGCTTAAACAAAGTTGCAAAGTGAGGCACTAAGTGTAAAATTACCTTCTCCATGTGTTAGATCCGACATTAGAAGGACTGACGAAGTTTTAAAAAGCTGAAAAACATTCCCGTCGCCCTGTCAAGAGCTGGCATGAACAAGGAGTCCTGAGCTAAAAGCGCTAAACATAAACCCGGCAATGCAAACCAATGCTTTGTTACGTCACAGTGGTAAGACATATTCACGTTCTAATCACGTGCACATTCCAAGGTGCACAATGGCGCACGCGCTAGTTTCAAGTTTTCGCGCGCGTTTGTGATACGTTGACTTGTTAAATTTTAATTTATTTATTTTAAAAATACTCTAACTTTACAAGCGGGCTGGAAGATTTCGAACTTCAGATACGTAGGCTTTTAAAATGACAATTGCTACAAAACTTAACTCTTGCGAAGCAAGAGAGAATAAATTTCTCACAGCTTTATAAAACAGCGAGTTGTAACGGCGCCTGCTTCTGCTGAGGGAACATTAAAAACTTCAGTTTTATAAACACAAGCAGCCAACTAGAAATATAACTGAGCCTTCCAGTTGATAACTTGATCTTGTTCATGTAAGCGTCACGATTTTTATACAGTTTCCTGAGCTGCCAATCACCAGCTTATTTCCATCAAGTGACACATCTAAGGCTTGAATGGGTTTCCCTCCCTCCTCAACACTGGCAATCACCTATTTTATGAACAATAAACACAATGAATAAGGGAAAATGATCTACAATGCTACTAGCCCAGTAACCACTAAACACCAGCTGGATTTATCCTCAGTAGCCCCAATTTATGCTTTGTAAAGATCTGTAAATAGCCAACTGGTCTGGCCCCACCAGTTGGGATTTTTAACAAGGTTAGTTTGATTAGTAATATTTTTTTAAACTTTGCTGACATTGGTTTTGAAAAGCCCCACTGAGCCACATTGATACTACAGTTTTTAATTTCTACTTTTAAAAACCGCCATACTTCATCATCTGGATTTTCCTAAACAAGTTTTCTCCTTCCTCGTGTCTTTTTCTTAATAAAATATCAATTCAACCAGACG